ACAGTGCACTGCATCACAGAATACTGACTGATTTCTTTTCTCTGACAGGCTATTTCGTCCTGTGGTCAGCAAAATTTAGTTTAGTTGTTGGTGTTTGCAGTTGGTGTTTGCTGTAGAATTCACGTTCACGTCTGAAAAGTCCTTCTCCTGTTCTGGCATAATCATTCTGACGAGCTCGTACCAAAGGGGGAAATCAATGGACTCGAGTTTTGCTCCTAAAAGAGCTTATCAGTGGTGCATCTCCTTGGCCTTACCAGGGCTCTCATTCCGGACATCTGAAGCACTATTACACAAGCGCACGCCGAACACATCCGATGGATACGTCTTAGGTGAACTGTTTGGAATAATTCCTCAAGACATTTGGACCACAAGAATGATCTTAACTTGAATTCTGCAAATGCTAGAACCATCCACAACTAATCAGGAACTTTGTTCATATTCACACCATTCTTGTTTGAACGGTCGTCTCCGAGTTCTGGTGAGTCCACACCAAACCACTGGACTGGAGTTTCGCTTTCATTAGAGCTCATCAGTGCATATCTAATGGCCGTGCCGAGATTTGAACTCCGGACGCCTGACATGCTAGGCGATCGGGATACCACTAATCCACCAACGCGTTTTGGACGCATTTGTTCATTCACGTTTGAACGTGTCCAGTAGGTTTCAAGCATTTCGCTGATGAGCTCTGATAAGAGCGAAAATCCAGTCCGTTTCTTCCCTCCTTTAATGTGGACTCACCAGAATAACCGTGCCAGGACGAAATAAAAGGCTATTCTAAAGAGAGTGATTTGAACGTGGAAAGTCAGTTTATGCGCGCGGCAAATGTATGAGTAAGTTGGGCAGCCGTCACGAGAAGCATAACATGATGAGTGCCAAGGAAACTCCGCAAAACTCAAACCGTAGCCCAAGTGCAAACTATTGTCATTTGTTGTGAATCAGTGCAGCTGATGGCCACGTGACATTCCTCTGATTAGTCAGGTGACATCTAGTCGTGCTAAAAGGCACAAGCTTGTGTTCTTATGAGTTCAAGAGCCTATCGGTAAGGTAACTGAATGATGAAAAGTGAAGTAAAGTGCAAATTACGACACAAGATCTATACTTGCTGATTGCCCAAACAATTTGTCAGAAGAGCTTTTACGTCATACTTCTGAACAGAAAAACTAGTCCTTTTTAGCCCTATACTGTCCCAATATCGATAACAATCGAAACAACAATATGAGAACTGAAATACGTGAAGGATATTAGGTTGGGTGTGAGGCTTAGAATCTATAAGCTCTCATGTTATCATAAGTTACGAGATGACATGCCCACAAATGGGGAGAGCAATTTACCCCGAAAATTGAACCATTTTGTTGATTCACCAATGCTATGTGATAATGGCATCAATATACATATATATATGAAGATTACGTTTGTCAAGCAACAGGTCGCTTCCATAAGTGACAATCCCCAAGAAGGGGAAGACTGTACTTAAGAAGCACCTAAAGTTCTCTGGGTTAGCCCAGTGAGACCGTATTCACTAAATATCGGAACAACATTAGTTATTATTGTGCGACAACCCAGGGCATTCACAAGTGATTTTCCTTGTTGCTTACATTCAAGCAAAAGCTGTGGTCCTCATAATATATTCACAAAGATCGTCTCTTTCCAGAGACGGTTTTGTTGCTTTTGCATCCATATTCGTTTGTAAATTGATCTTCTAGACAGGGAGCAGTAGGCGGAGTTAGATATTAGCGATCTCTCGGTCCGACCAGATACGGGTAAGATAACGCATTCCACATGACATATACGGGCCATCTGGAGCCCAGAACCTGTGGTTCCGTTTACCTGCCTGGATAAATCTGTTCCGGTTCTTTCACTCAACCAGAGTTTAGTAGGTACTGTTGCTAGCATATGAAGCACCATCTGTCAATCTAACGACATCAAGGCAGTTTGACAGTTCCAAGCAATACCAAAGCAACTCCACGCAACAATTCATCATACAACATCTATGGTCACCTAGATTTGCCACTTAAGCTGTGTTGTTGACATGCAAACATTCATCGTGAAAATCCGCGATAGCGATTGTTATTGCCGCTTGGTATGGCGAGTTATCCCATGTTATAGTGAGTTCTTGCGTAACGCATTGGTTTCAGTCGAAAGCATAACCTCACATTGTAAAGAACAGCGGCTGTTGACCATAGAATGGACCGATTCTTGGTCGAATCGATTAGGATTAGTCGTTTACTTCCAGTTAAAAGAGAAGAATTCTTTCCCATGGAACGCGGTTGACATCGGACCGAAGAACTCGTTCCTAGCTGTTCAGATCGACCGTTTAAAGGTATACCTGTTGGACTGATGTCCCCAGATCCATCAAGCTAGTGAACCTTTTTAAAGTACCTTGTACGGCGTAGAAAACTTTGATGAATATGAACATGAGCATGAACCATAAGTTGTCCTTTTGCATATTGCCTCTAGGATGGAGCTTTCCAAAGATTTCAACGATTGTCTTGCAGCAATCAACAGGCCACAACAGCTAAACTTGCGGGTTTTATTAATCCACTGTGCAAATTCTCGGAGGATTTAACAGAGATTTTCGTCCTATCTAATAGTTTTGTTTCGCCGTTGGTCTATGCAGCCACACAGTAGCTGGTAGGATACGTGGTCCAGAGCTGTACACCATGTAACTCGCTTGCTTGCACGCATTTCTTCAAATAATTGGATAACGGTTGGTTGTCCTTGGCCGTGGAGTCAGCAGTGCAGCTAATGTAAGCTTTTGACATCTGTCAGTTGGCGACTGACAATTTCTGAACTTCTGTTTTTCCACTCGCGTCATGAAACAACTGTTTTATGGCAAGACGTTTGGCAGTTTGTAGTTGAACATCTCAAGTGATGAGGCAAGAGGTTTGCTTTACCTGCATCAAATGGATGCTCCAAGATTCAGCAAGAAGAAGATGGATTGACTCAGCCCTTTCTGATGTATTTTTGTATTACGGAGTTCAAAGTATACTTACATGAGTACCTGGGAAGTCTGGATAACATAAAGGGGTAGCAACACAGATGGCTAGCACGAAATGGAGTCCTGTACTGCATACAAACTTCTGAGCAAACCAGCACGTGTTCTACAATTTCTTAGTAAGGAGGAGATTATTGGACTATCAGAGTTACCGAGTCTGCCTAAACAGCAATCAAAATGACCGTCTTGAAAACGACTCATCATTTTTTTTAGTTTGTTAACTTGCACGGTAGTATTCAGTGATTTGTCCTCCAGAATATTGCGAGTGAATTTCCGCAAACCACTATGCGGTCTCCGAGCTTCTGTGCTAAAAACCTGTTTTAGCTGCTTTTTTAACTTTCATTTTGTTGGTCGTTCCAGCTAAAAACGCCTCTGCCATTGAACAGATTGGAGTATTTATGGATAGATTTTACCCTTTGCTTGGTAGGCCCAAACATGCAGTCGGCGAACTAGGGCCATATTTTTAAGAACTCACTTGCCTCTGGCATTAATGAAAGCCATTGTTATTATCGAACCTCGCGGATAGTAAAGTATGCAATAGCAATTTTTCCCTGTAAAAGTTTTTTGCACAAAAGTTTGATCAGGTAAGAGTCGCTAAAAATTCAACAACGAAACATTCTGTCACAGTCCAAATGGGCTCTTCTATAGAACTTGATCCTGTAAACGGTGCTTTTTCACATCAATTTAATGAGGTAGCCGCTTTATAGGATGTCTGAAAATGAGTGGAGATTTTTCCTCTCCAATACGCACTGACAAATGGCATAGTAGGAATATGGTTGTGCTTCGGAGGCAAGAGTATTTAGAACGCCCGATCTTCAAAACATATATGAGATTTCCTTTGTAATAAATGAATAAATTCTAACATAAGAACGACGCTTTCCTGGCTACCAAGTTAATTCACCGTATTTTACTGCCATAACGGCTTTTATTTCGTTGTCCAGATTGGTGTGATCTTCTTTTCACGCATACATCATTCTGTATACTAAGAAAATAAAACGCACAGAGAATGTCTGCATACTTGGGGTTGAAGTATCGGTTATGATGGCGTCACATCTTTGATGAACGCTATCCACAAGGTTTACCCACTTGTCTGTAGTGGCTTTCAGTGCTAATGCAAGTATGCCTTGGGCTAAACAATTAATTAGCCAAGTTCCAACAGCCTCTTCCAGGGAGTTGGAGGGTTTGGTGTGCGCTACAGTGGTCACAACTAGTGAATAGTACTATGATGTCATGCTAGTGAATAGACAGAAGCGCAGGCACATTCTGCCTAAGTAGGTACATCATCCAAGACGAACTCTATGAGAGCGTACAAGTGGCAAACATTCGAGGTATTTATTCGAGCCGAATAGTTAGTGGAAATTATCGTCGTACCCGTATCCTAACTGCATATGTCAATCGATCGCCGGGTAAGAGTTGGGACGATCGATCGTTGTCTTGTAACTTAAACCCGAGCGAATCAGGTTGCCTTATGGGTGGTGTATTTCGTCACACGTTGATTCACGTTATTTTTAATTGCCGTCAGCCCAAGATATCGGAGTCACATTGTCTTAAGATGACGTTTTTTACGGCCGCATATGGGTGAAAAACGCACCTCAGCAAGTGCTACGGATTTTGAGCACCCTTTATTGCCATACATGTTGTGGCATCTCATGCTGCGAAGAAATTGTCTAGAAGTCAATTTTGGCCATGAACACAAGGAAGCAATTTATTGTGAGAAACAATGACTTATTTTGGAGGGGGTGTTTAATACAGGGCTGAGCATGAAACGTGGAACACCATAAAACTTGGAAAGTGTTTCTTGTTGACGCGAATTTCCTAAGAGTTAAATCGTATTCGGAGCAGCTGATCGACCTCTTAGTGCCTAGTGGAATTGCAGTATTACTAATACCAATAAATGTATCCCAATATTCGTACAATGTGATTTATACGATCATGGATGCAAAAATAGCATCGAATGTTCATTGAAGTCTCTTCAATGTCCAAATTCTACTTTTGCACTTTCCAGATGCGCTTTCTAACAGAACAGAACAGAAAACTGACGGAAGAATCTCAGGGATCTCGGGGTAGATTTACCAGAGAAACAGAAAAACTGCGACAAACATATGATACAGAGCTTCGACAACTCCGCCAGTTAGTAGACGACTGTGAACGCGAGAAGGCGGACAGCCTGGCGAAAATGGCCAGTTTGCAGCAAGCTCTTCGGACTAAACAGGACCAGTAAGTCTAATATCCGGAAGTATGCTGTGCAAATATTCTCATATTCTCCGTCTTTAAGTGATCTCAAAGGTGATGAGAAATTACTGAATTTCTTGCTAACGTAGCAAACTTTCAACAAACTCTTGAAAATGGTCTTAGCAAATTAACACTTGACTTGTCCTGAACCGACTCGGTTGCGTCATCAAAGTAGAGAAAAGCGGAAAATTGACCTCTCAGTTGTGTTCGCCGGTTAGTTTGTTTTATGAGACATCTATTTCAGTGGGGAAAGAGCGTTGACCATGCATTTGTGTGGTGAGTGACACACACATGTGCAAATGTGGTGTGGTAACTTAACGGTCTCTCTGAGTAGATGCCACTCTGGGACATATAAATGGTCGCTTTATACAATGAGATCCCCTTCCAAGGATTACGTCTGTAGAATCAAATAGCATCAATTCCAGTGGCACTCATTCATGTGTTTGGGGTGCAAAGTCACAAACAGTGGAAAAACCTGAAATCAGACAGCATAATTCGACAGATTGTTTGCACGGATCAACCTTGGTTGGTCGCGTGAAAAACCTCAGCTAGATTAGTCCGTACTGTGTAAACACGCCTCGGAACACGTGCTTTGTTACTCGAGGCGACTGAATGAACAGGCAGCTGAGGTTTATAACCAGGCCCGAGTGCATGGCCTACTATGGCCATAGGTCATCAGAGTGACCCGGGAACATCAATCACGGTTTCACTCCAAAACCCCAACGCAAGAAAATACCAACCAGTCACTATCTACTAAGCTAACGCGCACGACAGTCATTGAGAGGCGCAACTAGCTTGCCCGGGGTTGAGAAATCGACCCCGTTATTTTCACACGGCAACTGAATGCGTCTTTTGTTGTGTTCCTATTCGAATTGTGAGAAAACCTGATTATATCTCGCGTACGGCAATCTGCCTTCTTGCTGTGTTGTCAGTGAACTGATATTTGTAAACAAGAAACCTAAGGCAAGGTTATCCAATCAGCAACTCGTATTACGCCTCCCAGAACTACAAAGTAGACGAGATAAAATGCTCACAACGATCTGAGCTGAATATGCGTAGGCTAGTGCGTAGTAGCCCAATTCAGAGACCGAATTCTCAACTACAGTGGCAGTGAAACGGTCGGCTACATGGTAAGTGTATTTTCTGTAAATATAGGCATGCTCTGCTCAATCTGCACTCATATATTACAAGAAAGATGTTTGGTTAACATATTGATTTTGGGGTTGCTTGCAAAAGGAATTGGGTGGCACGTTGTGGTTTGTCTTCGAATCGCATCACAGCTGGAGTAAAGACACAAAACCCGTGAATTGAGCTTCCGTTTTCATCGAGGACAGTGTTGCATCCGACGATCTCTCAAGTTTGCTGGAACGCGCACCTATTCTGCTGACACGTGATCTGTTCACCAACCGCGTCGGTGATTTTGTCAGTCCCATGCACTCATTGATCTGTAGGTCCTTCCTATCACAATCTGAGAATTAGTAATGCATGTAAGATTGAAACAATTGTTCTACTTCATTGAATGCTAAAGCGTTTACCGTATAGGTGTCTGTCGTTGTAGAATATACCTTACTAACACCACCATGATCAACCGCTTTTCAACCGAATGTGTTCACTAGTGGTGTGTGTTCCCTACTCCCAGCGGCAAGCCTCCTCGGGTACAATACGCTGAAAGCATAAAAGCTCCTCAATTATTTAGAAATACGTTTAAATCTTTCCAGCACCCGCCAACATAAAACGTCTACTCGTATGTTTGTTTTTTTCTCTGCTTATTTATCCACACCTTTATCCTTCATAACACTAGCATATAATGGGGCGCACTTCATTACAAAATAAAAATTTACATACATTAATAGTCATCTGTTATGTTTCCGGAGACTTCACTAAACTATTATTGAAGGAGAATAATCAGCAGATTTCAATCGCTGTGTATAATTTGCAGTCACGCTATGGTGTTTAACAATTGCGCCCGTACATGTGAGGATATGGGCACTCAAAGTGTAAGTTAACAACGCTCAGCTTTACCAGAAGTTGTACATCCTGACGCACGCAGAGCTAGTGGGACAAAGTGTTGAGAGAGTCTGAACGGGGGCGAATATTTTATGGCTTGCCTTTTGGCTACTCAGCATGGTTGCACTAAGCGTTAAACACAACGAACAACACTGAAATATACCAAAACTCCCTCGCGAATCGTTTCTTTTTAATGTCAGACACAATCTTGGCTTTTCTGTTGCATTACTCCAGTGTGAATCATATTCGTATGTCGTTTCTACCTGAGTCTTAGCAATGAAAATAACAATGCATCTTATGGGAGATTATTAGATGCGTGCCTTCTGCAAATGTTGCTTGCAAAAAATTGGTTCGATGCTCTTTAGGCAGCTATGCTTCGGTGTTTTTTCGGACTCTTTGAGGTTAGATACACTCATCCATACTTGATAGACTATAACTCACCGTCAGCTGACTGGTCAGACGTCACACAAAGAACTAAAAATTCTGTCGACCAAACTTTCTGCTTTAACGGTACTAGCTGGAGTGAGGCCACAATGAAATTGGCCCTAAATCTGCTTTGCAATAAGGATACAAAATTTTCGCTTCCATTCAGAATTCAGCATCTGTCACAGGCCAACCAGAAACTATCGCAACAGTTGGACGATGCTTTAAAAGATGGCAGCGCTAAAGAAACGGACAGAGCAATTTTACAACGCCGTTTGAATGCAGCAGAAGAGGAAATGCAACGTCTCCGTGGTGCCTTGGAACAATCCAAACAAAATAATCAACAGCTACACAAGGTGAGCTTGACTATAGCATAAACTATAAAATACAACTTTCGGATGATCACGTCATGGCTTCCGGAATCTGCACTTTGGGTGGCAGGTCACGACGGTGTTCTTTGAGTTGTCCAATATGACAACTAGGCGCTTTGTGGGCAAAAACCTTTCCCAAATGAATTCAGAATTATTTCAGAGTGTAAATTCACACCTTTAAATCAATGGCGGATGACTCCAAGGATGAAAACCCGCGTGACAGTTTTGTACTACTTTCGAACGTTCTAATGTAAACAGACCAACAGCCGATCTGTGTGCCTTCCATATCTGACAAACGCAAAACAAACAAACGAGGCTGCTTCCCGATGTACCTAAAATCTTCACTCCTTTCGACGCCTAATTCAAACATAAAATAAGAATAGAGAGACTAGTCCTCTGTGCCCGGTCTTTAGCCAGTTTTACGAAACATCTAAGCAGTAAGACGACAACGTACGCCCAGATACACTAAACACCCTTCCCACAGAGGCCACGAATATCTATGCATGAATATCCCATGGAAAGTAGTGAGGTACCCACTTCCTTCAGGACCAAACCTAGAAACTATATTCTATACTTTTATTTTCTACCACCACGTGATTTTTTCAGAGAGGAGATAATACTTGACTTTATGCATTGAACAGTGCTAAACCATTTTCCACACAGGAAGGAATATAGAACATACAATTTTGACTTTATTGTTGCAATCGGACTTCAGGAAACTAAGGGCTTTAGAGTAAAATGAATCACGGCTCACCCACTACAACACAGTAATATTTTTTACCAATATGGCTACTGAAGTGAGTAGTAAAATGTATCCATAAATATCTGTCGCAAGTAGTATCCGTCGTGGCAAATAAATAATTTTTAATTGTTGTGTTGTTAGTTAATCTGGCGTTTATAACGAGATAATAAATAGTTTTGCCTTTTAAGTAACTCCATGTATCACTAGGTACTTTGCTGTGGTCGGGTAACAGGGAACAAGGGTGGTCGGAAACGTAGCTGTGGAAACGTAGCTGTATTCAAGCCGATTATAGATCTCAATGTTGTGTGGATTGCCCGATTGAACTTTATCGTTTTGCGGATGACCAGAAAGGAGGGTATTGGAGCAACTATGCGGGCAACCAATGCAGCAATAGAGAGGGCATAGTGACATAACTGTGAGACATCTTTTTGGTAAGCGGGAAGTAAGCAGAAGGTAAGCAGGAGTTCAAAAGTTGATGTGAAGTCTACAAAATTTCTCAAACTTTTTCAATCAGTTTGTCTGTACTGATAATAATGTCTGAAAGAAGTTCTCCAGCAGACAACTGTATTTAGTGCTCTCTCAGTCATCTGTAACTCATTATAATACGTCGTTTATTGACTAGTGATGAAGGAAAATTTTCGTTCACAAAATATTTAGCCTAAATTTGGCGATCCCGGTGTTTTACCTACTAGCCGGGTCCTTTCCAGAATCACAGACTTCAGCATCTCCTTTCAGAATCTTGACGAAGAAACCGCAAGCCGCATGGCTTGTCAGTCGGAGATGCAAACACTTCGAGAGGAAATGGAGTTCCAGCGAACGGTTCACGAACAGGAATTGGAAGAACTGCGGGTCATGTCCAACGTGGACCACGAACAGGACCGCAACCAATGGCGTGACGAGATGCAGCGGGCAATACGTGATATACAAACAGAGTATGATCAACGTTTGGACAAAATCCGCAACGAGATGGAAGCCAATTATAATAACAGGGTACACACTTGTTCATTCTCCTGTTCGATACCACTATCGTGTGCTTGATGTCCTAAACACACATATAAGGAGGCTAAATTCTGGCTCGGAAACCCCTACATTCGGCACAGTGCTTTTCTATATATAAACCGGAGTATTAACAGAATTAGACCATAGTTACTTTGTCCAACCATATCTTAGAAGCTTCTATTGGCGGGCAGGTAAACATGTATCCACTATTTTACACTATCTTTGTGTTTAGATACATGAACTGTGGAGTTGTTCTGGTGCGTTGGTGATAGGCATCATATTAGTCGGTAGTAAAGTTTCTAGCAGACAGCACCTCCGATGAATAGCCGTCTTGTGTTATTTTCAGAATTCACAGATTTTGTTGGACGTAATTAGCCTAGGGATCTACTTCTTCGGTCCTAGTTTGAATGACTGGTGATTCTCAGAAAGAGGTTCTGCTGTTCCAATTATCAATGCCATTTCTCACAGAACAGCCAGTTTTGTCACTCACATTTTGATCTGCTATAAACTTCAGGACTTTAGGGACAAAAAGCGGATCTTGTTTGTACACTAAATTTGATGCTTTTGAGAATTACGACCATAGTTTGAATAGTAGTCAGAATGTTTTGTCTGAGCAGTCCTCAATCCTTGTGTGGGACCTCATAACCACCAAGTCAGAGGCTTAGAGCTTCCAAAAACCCGTTCATAGGAGAATTCCCAGCAATATTTAGAATCATCAGTTTTTTGATCTGTATAAACTTCAGGACTTTAGGGACAAAAAGCGAATCTTATTTGTACACTAAAGTTGATGCTTTTGAGAATTACGACCATAGTTTGAATAGTAGTCAGAATGTTTCGTCTGAGCAGTCCTCAATCCTTGTGTGGGACCTCATAACCACCAAGTCAGAGGCTTAGAGCTTCCAAAAACCCGTTCATAGGAGAATTCCCAGCAATATTTAGAATCATCAGTTCATCTGGGAGTGACAAGAAGTGTTGCCCTTTGATTAACGGCGTTATCTCGAAACCTCAAGTCTCCAGGGACTCGAGCATTAGACGTTTGATGAAAATTCCAAGTCCAGAGCTTAACATTTATCAAGCCTTGATGAGGACCTACGACCGGCCAGATTTTTTTCAGTATTCAGATGATATTTCTCAGCATAACTTGAGTGCGCCTAAAGAACCAAATCTCTACTGAAAATTCCCAAACCTCCTCACACTAATAGCAGTTAATAAGTAGCTCAGAGGGGAGGAAATTCCACAAGACGACTCAAGCTCTTAGCTGAGAAATCGTTACTTAAGAAGTCGGCCAACACGTGACCAAATGATCCGTCCTCCGTGATTGAAGGATGGGTGGCGCTGTATCCTGTCCAAGTGCGAGTTATTCGTAGTGCTGATAGCCGCTCGTGGCCGAACATCAAAGCGTCTATCCTGCAGATCACAGGTTTGGAACTCTAGATTCTCGTAAGATGTTCAATGACGATGGTCCCCGAAAATGGTAATACAGCTGTACAATTTTTCTCGGTTTTTAGCACAGAATGGCCTTACTTAAGGGTGTATTCTCCATTAGATTCACATGAGTCCTTGAATTTATCGCCAGTTAGGCCAGGAGCCGCACTGTGACTCAAGTTCACCGGCCGCACAAACTGTTCGGTAGCCATCTGGTTAAGGAGTAGCAGCCCGGAACTGCTTTAATGAAGACCAATGGTAACTTTGCACTATTCCAGAGTGAATTCTTCTTTCTCACAAGTGCACCTGCCTTCAACTTATGCTTACTTTGAGGAAAGCGATGAAAAAGTTGCCTAATTCTAGCGAAACTGCATTTTGAATTGTTGTACTGTTGTTAAGTTAGAGTTCGACAAAACACTCAAATCGCTCAAGTGTGAACACCATCGCCTGAAGATTCAGGTGCGTCTGGCGTGCGCTTATGTGGCGGTAACACGCTCGCCTCGCATGTCAGATATCGGAAACTTAAAACCCGGGCACTTCTGATGAAGTCTAATAACAGCGAAGCTCAGGTCAAATGATTTCTCTCTTCGGTGCCGGCTCAACAAAATAACTGTGCCAAGACCTGAGGATGACTGTTCAAATGCGAGTTATGCGCACGCGAATTCTACCAATCTCGCAACAACACAAAACTAATAAACCTGATGATCAGTTTACCTGCTTTGGTGCAAACTGATAACGTTCTGGGTGTAGTGCTCAATCTTCGAACCGTTCCAACACTGTTTGCTTTAAACGCCATCTCGCACGGTTTTCGTCATCGTTTCTGTTCCAGATGGCGGCCAACTCTTACAAAATTGCCTATGATCTTCCAGTCACTGTTTTACTCGCCTATTCCATGAACAAATTCCATAGTGAAAATGTTCATATACTTCCACCGTATTCTCCACTCTTTAGCTGTCAGAAGTCAGTAAACAATACGCCGCCCAGAATGCACATAGTCAGCAGGTCTCCGAAGAGAACAGACAACTGAAGAATAATTTGAATGACGCGCAAAAGCGTGCGGAGCAGCTCCGTCACAAAGTGAGCGGTTTAAGTGTTTTGGAGACGTGAAGGCTTGTTTTGCATATGTTTTGTATCCATTTGGCGAAGTAATATTACGGTGACGGTCCGTGATGGCCGGCAAGATTTTTTTACACATTTTTGCCACATCGGTTCAAATTCGGTTTGACTCTCCTCACAAACTATTCCTCTACCTATTATTTCCGGGAACTCCGGAGATAAAGCAATCTCACTTCACCTGGAACCCATCACATTTTGCTAACCGCTAACGGTGAAGAGGAGCTTTTACGATTTGTTGTTCAGCGTAGCTAAATCCATTTTTGACCCGGTAACTAATGCATTCCTCGACTGGCTAGTAAACGGTGTGTAGTACCTTCGGAGAAGCTACACTTTGAAGTCTGGTAAACTCTCGACTTATAGACCATCTGGTAGCATCTTTGAAAACCAGTGAGATGCATTCGATCACGGACGAAGTGAAAAATCGATCAACTATGCAGATGATTGTTACTAAATCACCTTAATATTTACGGGCTAAGGTTGCTTGTTCAGGTACGTCGGAGGGATAGAGTGTCCTGAGGTCGCAGACGGAGTAATGCACTACCAGCAGAACAGCATTGTATCGGTGAGTCTGATCTACGATAGTTACTATACGCAATGAACCTCAAATAAACCACGAGTGTGAATATCCACAGTAACTTGAAGCCCTGCACAAACAGGATATGGCAGAAAGTCACCGAAAATATAAACTCTGCTGTCGTGCGTGTAAGCATATTCTAGGCAGACCTATGAACCTTTATTGAAAACACAGCTAAGATCCTTCAAAAGCAAACAGACGAGTCGGAGCGAACGGTTCGCAGTCATGTGAAGCGAGGACGCATAGAATATCAGCTAAAAGCAGTCACTCCACAACAGAAGCTTAATTAAAATTTTAAACTGCAAAAACAAGCGAGAATAATCCGCAAGGTAAGCGAGCCAGTATCACCTTTAAACATCGACCCGTTTATAGTCAGTGCAGCTGAACGTTGTAAATGTTTATCGATGAGCACATCTGCTGGATTACGCCAGCACACAATGGCCTGTTCACCGTAGGATAATGGTAGAAAAACTAAATCCAGAAGTTGATCGTGCCTTCTGGAAAGAAGGTTAAGAGCTTTGAAACTGTGATCGGTAAACCCTGTCCTCAACGACGGACCTGCTTGTTCAAACATTTCTGAACTACTTATAATGGAAAGCAAATGGTTCTCACTGAAAATAGGCCCGAGTTTATTGGAGCGATGGAATATTTATGATCGTTGTAGGCGATGAAGCACGCGTGGTTCGTACACTACTCGAAAGCCACTTCTAGCCTGTCAAGTCACACAGTAGGTATTTGGCACGTAAAGAGCATAGGTCCACACAGTGTGGTCAATCTTGCGAATTCAATGAATTGAGCCCAAGCCCCATGAGAAGGCACACAAGCAGCAGGAAGTACAAATAGAACCAATTTGTTGTGTACCGGGAGTAATAGCATGATGTGAAATTAAAGTAGAGAGTGACAAACGTTTTCGGGCCAGATATTTCTGTCCTCAGCAGTCTTTCGGTTTGATTCAACTTCTAACCCCGAGGCCAAAGTTTTCATTCGTTTGGCAGCCGACCGCAGGGTTTCAGTGCTTCAGGTCCTAAAAAAGAGAGGGGCACGGTGCATTGTTCCTCAGAAGTCAGCGATGACGCCTTTGGTACCTCATCTTTCAAACGTGTTCTCACGCCTGCATTTCGATTATCGGATAACTGATAGTGTTGTTGGTGTAAATGCGTTTAAATCGGTTCATTCTAGGAAGACGAAAAAGAGTGAGGGTCGATATTACTAACATCGTTTATCAATAGTAGCCTGAGGGGATTCAGGCCTACTTCGGTACGCATGTGGCTTGAATGACATAAAGATCCGAATAGTGCGCATTTTCGGTAGCTCTTGTACCATTACCTTTCGATGGAAAAGAGTTACGGGTGGGAGAAAACTCAAATGAATCGCGCACTCAGAGCACAGCTTACTGAGTTTGACTGCGTGTGTTTTATGGTCATTTCCTCTACTGGGGACATCATTCAAGAAAATCGTGTCAACTTACCATTAAAAGAAGTCATGTGAATGGTGACGTGCGTCAACAGTCTTAGAACTTCAAGGTACAAGATGTGAAAGCCAAACCATTCACACCAGATACATATGATGGTATCCACCTGATTCTTTGCCTCACCTGGTGTGTATCCGTTCATTTACGGTTGCAATGACGCGTACAAGCACAAAGCGACGGTTTCAGTTACTCTATCAATCAAAAAGGCTTACTGGGAATAACGATCACACCGTGGTTCGTAAGAATTGGTGGAGACACTCAGTCCCCTTAAAAACCTGACACACTTTTTGTGGATCTACCGGGGATCCTTCAAATACTTCGTTTATAGATGCCGCACAACAATGCAGGTGTCAGTGGTTTCCACGCGGTTTAGGTAAAGTGTTTCCTTTTTTTGGGAATGACCGTCGTTTTCTTTTGTAGGTGATGTCTGGAGAACCTTGTAAAGTGCCTTGCCACCATTCCCGCACTATAATTGTATTCAAAACACTATTCTAAACATGGAGGATCCATTCACTCAAACTGATTCCACTAAGTTTTGGGAATGACCTTTCTTTTGTAGGTGATGTCTGGAGAACCTTGTAAAGTGCCTTGCCACCATTCCCGCACTATAATTGTATTCAAAACACTATTCTAAACATGGAGGATCCATTCACTCAAACTGATTCCACTAAGTTTTGATTTAGTTTTTATTATCGTTTCAATTTTTCCCCGCAGATTTTTTCATGACCCCCATAATCGCCCAATTAATGAACATGACAGTTCTAGTAACTTATTTGTGGACTGCATACCGGATGATTCCATGGTCCGGAACATTAGTGATTTTCGTAATGCAGGAAGGGAGAACTTGTGTAGTTTGAAAGCGGTTGGTGGTCTTTTGTCTGTTTTCGTCTGGGAACTGAGCTAGGCTTGTAAACGATGCTTTGTAGCTCATGTTTTCGTAAGTGTTTGAAAAACTTGTTTGATTCACTGGACGCTGCTGAAACGTGTAGCCCAGTCATCGCACCCTTGCATACTTTTGTCTGAATGTGCGCTATTTCGTTTATTATTTATTCTCTCACACTATAGTGCACCCAGTTAGAAGAAGCCGTTCGCGAATGGCAAGAAAAGTACCAAGCATCTCAGCGAAAACACGATGCGGGTCTACGTGATGCAGAACGAGAAAGACAAAGTGCAGAGGATGCGCTCAACCGCGCATTGAACGAACTTGCTGCGTTGACTGATGTGAAGCTTAACTTGGAATCAGAAATAGCTGCATATCGACGATTGTTGGAGGCACAGGATTCGCTTATTTCTGGCACGAACGATACCCGAAAACCTCGCATATCATCGCCTACTCCCTACAAGCCAAAAGAGTTGAGAGTACGGGTCCCAACATACACCTCTTCTCAAACAACTTTTCCGAGGTCATCTAAAACTGACAGGTAAGTATGACGTTTACTATGAAGGGTAAGCATTGGTTAGTCGAAACAATTCATTGAATGAAAAGACTAGAAGGGAGTCAAAAATCATTTTTGTACTTTATTAGACTGGGATTAGATCAGTCGACTTTACGATGGCTTGCCTTTAGGAGGTGCGTGATTTTTCCTGTTTGTCAGGTGAGTTACTGGTCTGTGTGGCCTAGGTAGAATACCGTGGGGTATCACTTTTCAGCCGTTCAGGTAATTAAGTCATCCTCAGTAAGCCATCATTTTGGCCTGACTTGTGCATCACACCGCTGAAGTCGATAAATGAACAGATTGTGTCCAAGGGATTTTCTTTAAAAACAAAACATTTCACAGAGTATATTTTCAGAAAACTTAACACTGAGTCCTTCAGTGTCATTTGAGAAAGGCCGAATGCTTGCGCAAAGAATCAAAGGCTACCGCCATCCATCCGGTTTTATTTTCCTTAGGAACTTGACCTTTGAAAGTTAATATAAACATAATGGTTTGGTAAACCAGGCAAGGTTATTCCACTTGTGCGAAAATTTCGGTTGTCAAAAGTTCCAGAACTAACAGGGCAGAATTAGTGGAAGGATGAGAATGAAGTGTGGACTGCGGTGTTCCACAAGCGTCCTACTTAATAAGACACCATAAACAACTTTACTTCGTTACCGGATGGACCTGTTGTATAGATTAAAGCCTTAGTGAGGCAGAATAAATCATACAGTCCTCAAGGTAACTCCAGGACCTCGCGGCCACATGGAATGCCAAAAATTTACAGTCCACTAGACTACTAGTCCCCAATTCGCAATGAGAAGTGATCTGAGAAAACCTCACCCAGTACAGCTTTCAGTTCGATGGATTTCATAAAATAGATATGATTCACTTAGTATGTTGACTGCCTACATTGGTCTGTAATGGGGTTACAACCAGCTTAGTTGTTTTTCGTGACACCCAGACTTTAGTCCGAAATGTCAATAGTCAAGTGAGGACCTCTGATATCGCCTCAAGCGAAATAACCAGAGTGAGTGTGTACTCCAAAAACATACATAAATACTTGTATATATGTGCCTTATTAAGAATGTGGCGTTGGCACAGAGTTACCAAATTTGTCACATCGGTACTCAGACGATACTCTGCCTAAAGTGCCAAAACTGCGTGTATGCTGTATGTGTATCCCATGAAGTCCCTTGCAATTGGTAGGCCATCTGTCCAACCAATGGATCTGAAGCATTCCACGAAATTTGCTGAAGACGGCTCAGCAGGTTAGGAGTGAAGCTGTCTATCCCACGATTATTCAGTACCACATTGGAGTATCTTCTTAATACTTGCTTGAAAATACTATTTTTCCCCTACCTATCGTTCAAAAACTAGCATTATATCTCAAAATACCTTCGGTAATGAAAGACTTCAGTGGTTTTCTAACGACTTCAAGATATGCATTCTTCTAATCGTATGGACCTATTACTGTTGTATGGATGCTAATCGGCAAAGCTGACCTGATTGATCGTACGGCGAGAAGATAGCTGGAAGTCACGATGGAATGGATAAAGGGAACCTAGAGTTACAAACCCGTTTGACCAAGTTAAACTTTAGTCAAGAAATTATTGACTCATCTATATTGGATCACATTGAGCTTTTTGTTTATCACAAAGCATGATGACAAAAAATGTGTTGACTTCATTTGTCCATTACGTTCAGTCAAATCCTAGACTTACTTCCTCCGGTTTGGTTTCTTACGCTAAAACAGAAGTACCAGATTACAGCAGAACTCCGGTGAAACAACTACTAGATAACCTTCCACACAGGGAGCCACTTTTGGTACCATTTTACAAGAACAGCCTTCGTCAAGCATAGAGTTTGATCCTCTTTATGTGAGGTGGGCACCATCCACGCCTTCTTTATCGGTCACTAATGCAGGAACTGCTGTCCTTCCCCAGATATGTTGTATTGTCGCTGCTTCGTGTACTTCACCTCAGAATCTACCAAGTCCTCCTTTAGTTTCCAGTAATTCATGACAGCACCTTTGAGTATCAGAAGTACATCATCGTCCGGCCTTCCTTAGGAGTCACGAAAGGGGCTCCTTTCCGGGACCAGCAGCTGTTGTTGCATTATGCAGAGGGAGTTGCGAATCACTTAGGACGTTTCGGCGATTACTTTTGACAGAGAATGGGTATGTCTACTCGCATCAGCCCGTTAAGATGAATTCTGGCGGTTCAAATCCTTTCCCGTAATGGTTTTTCTTTCGTGCTAAGTGCACTTACGCTCCTCATCACAACATTACCGTATGAGTTAATTTCTGACTATTACCCTTTAGTTAGGAAAGTGACAAGTGACATAAGAGTGAATTACGGTTGTCTTCATTTCGGAACGTAAGGGCTTATGATGCATGCGGGTTGTCTGGCATACCAACCAAAAAATACAATGTCTGCTTTTGTGATTCAATTATGGTGTGTGAATTTGACTGGCAACTCGTAGAAGATACAGCGAGACAATCAGCCCCAAAGAGCCTAGCACATGACGTGTTGCTTTTTCTTCGGGGTTCGGTGATCAGCTGCACTACACCAAACGACGTTCTACATTTTACTTGCACAACTTTGATTTTTTCTCGGTTATTTCGTGCAGCCCATCAACTATCTCAGCACTGTCCTTTTTTGGTTCGTTTGTTCGCCTGCTGGTCGACAGCGTACAAACATCTTATCAGGCTCAAGTTTTTTTTGCATAGTTAATTCAGGACAATTATTTGCCTACTCTTTTTGGCCTTCACTTTCAGTGTAAACCGATGGACTGATAGGGAAGAACCCAGCGGGCAATCGGCACGATCTCACTTGGTTGAACGAACAGTCGAAGGTGAGACTCTCTGGGTTGTTTATATAGGTTTTGTTCCAAACATGACTGCCATGTGACTCAGCAACCTGCCAGGTCTGTTTGGCTGGTGTGGATTAAATTTCCGAAGGCCATTACTGACCACACCCTGTTCTGTCCCAAAGGCTTAAAGTGATTCACACTGGTAGGTGCACAGTTGTGGGAAACGCCCTTCGTGAGTAGGCTATTGTGACTGTACAATGTTCGAGGCTCGGTCAGGTCTGAAGCGCTTACGACGTTCCGATAGTCCGATAACCAAGGTAAATTCCAGCTTCAACCAGCCCATATTCCGTCACTTTCTGAGCCCCACCCAGTTGTTCATTTGGCGGTATGTTGAATCATTCACATTTAATTCCGTAGTACCTGAAGAGACAGGTGAAGGTGTGAGCGGAACGGAAATAGCCGTACTGACTGAGGGTATCGTGTATCAATTTTTTTCTGAGTATTCCCTAATGTCCACTGAATAAAGAGCAGAAGGGTCCTAATTATCTTTGATTTCTCTTTTGTCTGGATAAATGGCCGAAAACAAACCTCAACACAGGTTTTTTGTCAAAAGAATTCAGTAGATTCGCTTAATTATCAAACTGCCAAAAAGGTCAATGAGTGAAATGTTTGATACGGTGTGATAACTTCGAAAGCAGCAGAAACGTCAGGTGGATTACCATGGCTAATTAGGTGATAAGCAAGAGAAATTAATTCGGACCTAGTCAAGCTTTCTACATCAATGTTGGGTAACTGTTCAGCACTCACATTACGGGTAAAGTTACCACAGGAGAAACGAAAAACAAACGCATCGGAAAGGTAAAAAACAGTTTTCCAATGAGGATGGTTTTTGCGGTTGCACACCAAGTAGAGACAGTTAAAAGAAATCATGTGCTCGTCTGTATGGTAATCAGCTAAGGCTTAGGTTGTTTTTTTGAATGTCGAAATAATTGCGGCATTTAAGTATACTGGGAGTTGTTGATGTGCCGAAATGATACAGGCCAAAAATGTTTGCGGGTGATGATTCTCATTGAAACAGTGCTTGATAAACCGCAGAACCTGGATAGCCACCTGAAAAGATTGATATCCTCAGTCTAAAAGGCACACTCGCTTGGCTCAGAGAGCGATAAAGGAAACATTCATCCGTCATTACCTGGGTAAAATGTGAAAGAATGGCTTGCATGAACAAGACGGATATCTCCGGGTATTTTGTACTAACAAGAGCGAGTTTCTATCTTTCATCAACACCTGTAGCTGTTATTCGAATGTTGCCACTGGGGCTTCTGACCACAGAACACGAAGGGTACAGCACCTAAACGTGTTTCGGTATAAACTAATCAAATTTACAAACGAGCGATATGGAATCTCACATGGTGTCTGATATACAGTTACGATGTTTTTGAACGTCCTCGCTTTACTTTGCCAGCAATCATAGGATATCCAGGTGAGCAGGCTTTTTCTACCTCACGCCAGGCATTTTAAAATAAGGCACTACAAAAATGCAGTGCACTGCATTCGCCTTTAACTTTAAATCTCACCGCGTTTGTACTTGCGCCTTGATTCCACTATTCAGATGCTTTGTGTAGACCTCGCAGCAGAGTCACTCTTACACTGAGTCGAACTATTCCTGCACATTAGGATTTTTTTTACAATTTACGCGTAACTACATTTCCGATAACGGCATCTGCCAATCACCACTGCCAGCTATAAATTTAACAAATACGGGTTGGTATTTTCGCAGGAAACCTAGCAAACCCACAGCAAACCCGTCTAAACAGAATCATGTTCAGTATTTTAGAACTGAAAAGTACCCTAATATTTTTCAAGGGGATAGTTTGTTTTATTGTACTATGGAGTTTAAGTTGCATCAAAAGTTTCGGAGAAAAAACAAGTTCCAACGATGGACATGAGCCTTATAATAATGTAAGTGACGCAAGGCTGTGTCCAAAACAGTCCTCTTTCAGCACCGGCAAAATTATTCAAGCCAGTTTACTGCACAGTTTGCGAACACTGTCCGATTTCTTCTCGTAGCAAAACTTATCTGTAGTACGGATCCCTGGCTATGTCAGGATTTGGGATTCTTTCACCTGAGGTTTATATTAGGTACCTTGCCAACTAACCAACTAATAGCGCGTGCTGATCGAGCTTGAAAACTGTGTTTACAATGTGAACGACTACAATTTACTGCAATTTTTGGGTTTTGCGGAATGGATATTTTGTTCACAGTCACACCACTCTCGTTTGAACGGTCGTCCCCCCGTTCTGACGTAATTGTTCCGGTGAGGCCATACCAAAGAGAACCCCTGGACCCAATTTTATTCTTATGAGAGCTCATCGGCAGTGCATATCCATTGACCGGGCCGGAATTTGAACTCCGGACATGTGAAACGCGCGGCGAGCAGGCAACCACTAGTCCACCAACTACGGAATTATTGTCCGGAGGTTCCACGAGACTGATTTAGTGTCCGTCCCGAAAAACAACCCACATTCTGATGAAATGTAAGCTACTTAAAGGGGTCCGGTGTCCTTGCCGGGATTTGAACCCCGGTCACTACGATTTGACGATTCCACTTGCCTTGGTCAATGAATCACACGGCTTTCAATGGATACTTCTAACCTACTGGATACGGAATCCACTCCAACTGTTATAATTTGGAAAGAACAATGGTGCTTCTGGGATTAGTTTACCGTCGAAATATGTTTCAAAGAGTCGTCGAAAAGTATTTTTTAAGAAGAGTATCCTTTTCAGGTGCACCATTTCCCTCTGATGCAAATCAGGAAGGAAGAATAACCGCAGCTGAACACCTGGAGGAGTGTTCAAACGAGAATGATGTGCATGAAACTGCAAAAAGCCCAAAGCTGCTCGTTTTTTGGTAATCTCAGCTATTTCTAACAAATAAAAGAACCTACTCATTAGAAGAACCCGGCGCTGTTAGCTCACTCTTTTGACGTACGAATATGCTACCTACAAGCTTTAAATATGACGTCCAAATAATTGGACAACTCATTAGGGACGTTTTAACCATTGTACCATCACTTGGTGGTTCGCACTCAATGACGTGACCCACACCGAGCACAACTCGAAAGTACATGCAAGGCCGGAAATCTGATATCGGCTCATCATTTTCTGAAATACTGTACAGTTACGAGAATTGACCCATATTTAATCGCAACTGTTTTCTAAGCACCAAAGTGCCTCATGATGATGATTATGCATGGCAAAGCATCGGTTTGCTGGGAAATTGTCTTCTGGATTTTTGAACAGTTTACACTTACCAATGACAAAATATCTAACAAATCAAACATCCCAACTGTAACCGGATCACTAGATGCCTCCATCGCAAATGTCTTGTTGGATCAAGAAACCTCTCTACTGTAACCGTTCACCAAACATGTGTGTAGCCAGTTGGGCTCATTTCGGGTTCAGCTGAAGCCGGCTAGTCGGGTGTGAACTTTCGCATCCCAAGACCAATTCCGCCTACGTTGAAACTTTGATGATTGGCTTAATCCGGAATACCACTTGCATCCACACATCGACTTTATGGGGGCACTGACTATTATTTCACTATTCATTTGACGCAGTAAGTTTTTTTTAACTTCATCAAAGCACATTACCATAGTTTGCGACGTTTGTGTGTTTATTTGGATGGCATGTCATAAAACCTGTTTGCTCACTACTAGATATTGCTTCTGTTACGATTGTAAACTACGGAGAGTGAAATCCGGCTAAGCAATCGAGAAAATAAGATTGAAGGGAGCTTCTGGCGACAGATCAAGCTTAGCACACTCTGATCAATGGCGTATACCCGTGTATGGCAGGTGCGTGTAGTCAAAAGCGTACACAGGTCCCGTTAGAGCATGACATTTTTTAGGTACGACTTGACTATCCTCTAATGAGTTGATAACTAATATAGCAAGCGGGAGATTTGCACAAAACCCCTTCAATTTTGGAATGATGAGTGATCACATGGACTTAACTTACCTGCTGACCACGCCGGGGGTTAACCGCCACGTATTCTATCCGGAGCGACACTATTTCATGATCACTTGATACGGCGCTTACGCGATGTCCCTTCACTTATTCTTCGCCCTAAACTTCAATCACCCTCGCTTTTTGGGAGAAAATTCAGCGGAAATTTTGACAGCTTTCGGAAAACAAAAACAGACCAAGGTAGAGCAGTAATAGGCAGTTAATTGATACCCGTTATTTTTTTAGTTTTGAATCACAGCCTACCAATGGCTCACTGTCGGGTACTCCACCCTCGTCGTCAATGATCCGTTGTACATTCTCTCACTGCGCTATTCATTTTTCTGTATCCGGTGAGGATGTCCAAGCTGGTTAGTCCGCAGTGTGTCGTGACTTTATCACTCTAGCATTTGACCACTTTAAGCTGCCTATTCACTGGTAGTATTTTTATACAAGCCCTCGGAAAGCTTCTATGTTTAGATGATTAACATTCCATCTTTGATGTTCTACTTTATCGTTTGACTAATCAGTTACTTTTTTTGGATATCCGATCTGATTAGGATCACTTAGGCGGACTTTAACAAGTCGTTTCCAAGATACAAGCTTCGCATTTGAAGAGGACTATGACAACATTATCCCGCTTTGTTTTGTCTCCACCAGCTAACAGTTCGCAACGGTACCGAGTCACATCTGACTTTAACGAATATCCCATTCACTAGAAGCAACCTGTTCTTTTGATTCCTATGAATAGCCAGTATAACAACTCGTCTTCCGCTCCCAAGAGAACAGGTTTTCTCTGTAATAGGTAACATACTTTTCTATCGTAAGAAAATTTATGGTTAAGAATCCAGTGTTACTACAGTACCCCTTTATTGGGAATCCCCAATCGTTCATAGTGAATGAAAACACAACGTGGTGTGATGGCCGAATGTGGACCGGCAGTGCGAACAACCCTCTCTTATGCAGTATACCAACTTATATGCTCCATTTGGTGTAGATGTATGGCAACTGCACTGATACTAACCGGTCTGGCCAG